TAGTGAGAATAAACAAAAATCAAACCAAGGGCTTTACACGCATGCTATGTTTCAAGGGCTGCACCCAGTGATGAGCTAAAAAAGCTAGGTCCTTGTTTTCTTTCCTTGCATGCTTAGCAGTAGACCTGGTCGCTGACATATGCCTGTTTTTTCAACTCCCCGGGACCCCTCTTCCTGAATCCACATGTTTTGTACAATGAGGTTTACTCACACGGCAGCCAAACAGTGAAGTGGAGGTCCAAGTTACCAATCTGCCTCCACAAGGTTAGACTTTGACATTTTTGTCAGCCAAATCAGTAGGTGACATAATGCTTTGGTGAAGGTATCTGGGAATGAAATCATTGGTGCCCTGGGGGGTACATGATTCACCTCCCGGGCACGTGTGCTCGGAAACTGGTGGTGTGGTGTTAACTGGATCGAGGCGTGAGTTTTCAAGCCACTTGATGTGAGTCACCCATTAGGCCCTCATGCAGGCTGGGTATTTCCAATCAGTATGAAACCGAGAAAAGACCAGCAGAAAATCTGTAGACCAAAAGCAGCCTCAAAAAAAAACAGGCAGTAATCAAACCAGAATGGGTATCGTAGTGAGTCTTGTCATCTTCAGTGTAGTTGCCTATACTCTCAGACTTGATACTATCAATCATAACAGTTTTGAATAAAATCTATAGATACCAAACAGCACTCAAACAAACCAGATTTATCTAAGATCAGTCAGGATAAAACAGTGTAAGTCATGCAGGGCTCCAGATTAAGTTAATAGGAAATTAACGATAATTACTGTGCTATATCCTGATGTTTTGGGGATAGCTCTCTGTGCCCTCAAATCTAAGGCAAGTAGACAAACTGGGACAGGATAAAATCTATCTAAGCAGAGCGGTGCTAGTAATAAGGGTTTTAATTCTTCATACACTATTAATGTCTTCTGCCATCTTTTTGAAGACTATTCCTCCCCTTTCATTTCCCCAGGGTGCACTGTGCACTCATGTGTTTATAGGAATATGTTTTGTTTTGTCTTGCTTTGTTTGTTTCTCCCTCTAATATAGAAAAGATAGAAATACATGTTAAGACTCATGCATGTGTAGAACCTATAAACAGTTTATCAGAACTGATCTCATGACACAGGATGAAATGAACAAATACTTTGAAGAAAAAGAGACACTACAGGACCCAGTGCTGATCCCGGAGTGTCATGATGTGCAACCCAGCAATAGTATTACTCTTTGTTCAGAGTGATTTTAGCCTGCTTGGGTTTGTTTAATCTCAACGTAAATGGAGATCTGGATAACTGCATGTATGTTTAAGTGTATAGGATTGATACCCGTATTACTAAGTTTTTGTTGGATAGCTGAACAGAACCGTTTGCAATCTCGCTGTTAGAATCCCCACTTTATATGCTACACCTCAGTATCTTGAATAACTATTTATAAGAGTACAATCTGTAATCATCAACCAACGCAAATTTGAATATATTCCTCAGTCAGGTGATTTCTAAGCTCAGTGATAAGAACAAGTGACTCAATACAAGGGAAGCTTAATCCCACTCTTCCTCGGTTTCAGCTTAATTGTTTGTTGTCTGGACTTTCTTGGGTGTATGCCCAGTAGATGCCAGTCGTACTCAGCTGCTGTGTCCTCAGGCAGTAACAGATGCATTGCTGGGCGCGTTAGCCCCTAAAATGACAAGCACTCTGTGGCTGCATTGAGGTTTATTAGGGAGAGCAATTTCACCAGAAATACTGCCTATCACCTGAGCTGAAAGCAGAAGTGGTCTTATCGTGTCAATCTTTACCTCCTTCCTTACAAATTCCTATTACCCTGCAAGCAGACAGCAGTAAACAACAAGTTTTAAAAAAAAACACGCTTATTCCCTGGCTATCTAGAGCTAATTTTCGCCCTGAACTTAGTTTGATGTCCAAATGATCAGTCCGTAGAAAGCAACGGTAACCTCTGACAAGAACAAATAACATCGATCTGGAGGAGTGACAGGTATTTTCCAGGTTGCTGCACTTTTCATATCATGCAGGAGGATTCTTACTGTTATTATCTGCAGGAAAGTAATTGGAAAGCTTGCTTTAATCCAAATACCTCACCACCGTTCCAAGGAGTAAATTGTGAACTTCTTATACTTTGACGTGTTAGAGGGAGTCAAAGTTCTGATTCTAAAGGTAGTGATTATTTTGTAGGGCACATATATCTGCAACATAATGAAATAAATCTCTGGTCCTTCATAAACTTACAGGCCTTTAAAGTACTGTAATAATTTCACCATACTGTACCTTCACAATATGCACACCGTATACAGATTGTTTTGCTGATCACCAAAGTGCAATCTAGCCTTTGCGAGATAACTTCATTAAACAGCTATGCAGTGCTTGCAAAAAGATATCTGGAGCCTGGGATTGCATTTATTTATTTTTAAAGGAGTAGCCATTTGATGATAAGGCCAAATTCAGCAAGTGAGAATACCCTTCCTCTGAATAATACCAGCTGCGGGGTTCATTATTGCTACCAGTGGGCCATCGAGGTTGGGATTCAGGATGCTTGTTTCTTCAGCTAATCACCTACAGTGGCTCCTGATCTTGTTTTACCTCTTTGTGGCGTGAGCAAGATACATATAGTGTCACGCTGTTCTGTCCTGTCATCTATTAAAACTGAGGTTTTCGAGCCAGGCATGGTGGCACACGCCTATAATCCCAGCACTTGGGAGGCGGAGGTTGGGAGGATCGAGACCAGCCTGGGCTGCAAAGTGAGCTCAAGGCCAGCCTGAACTGCATAGTGAGAACCCCTCTCAAAAAAGACAAAAAAAAAATTGAGATTTTTCAGGTGAATGCCTTACTACTAGTGTTGGAGTTGAGTCTTGGGAGAAGGTTGATGAATTTTGTGGAAGGTTACTGTACATTGCAGTGAATAAATAAATTGATTAATAAACTGGTTAAAGGAGATGCTTTACCCTGGGAATCAGTGGTACAAATTAGTGTGCATTCTGTGTTTCTGTAAGTAAATTAAATGAGACAGACCTGGGTAAAACTCATCAAAAGACCAAAAAAAAAAAAAAAAAAAAAGAAAGAAAGAAAGAAAAACAGTCACCAAAGTAGCCTGACTTGTGTATGTTGACTGATTATTTCAGTTAGTTTTCTCTTAGCTGGATATTCTGACACCAGCAAATTTAAAAGGAAAAAGTTTATTTTAGCTCATGGTTTGTAGAAAGTTTGAATGCATCGTGGACTGGCTCCAAGACAGGGTGCCATGGCAGAGGAGAAACAGTCCATGGCATGGCAGGCAGGAAGTAGCAGAGGGAGCCTCCCTTTCCCTCTTTATACCCATCAGGCTACAAGCCTCTTAGCTGTACCTCTCACACCCAAGGTAGGTCTTCTGGTTCAGTAAACCCACCCAGCAACACCCAGAACTGTGCCAATTTAACCAGAGGATTGATTCCCTTAGTGCACATCCTTAACCCTAATGCCTCATATAGCTGCCTCTTGTAAGTTCATTAGGCTTTGGAAGTACTTCTAGATATAAGGCATTGCACTGGTGAAAATCCATATGAATATATATTTTAAGGGAAAATGAAGTCAAGTCTATGCCACCTGCAGCACTGACAAGTTTAGACATGCTTGGGACTCCCTTTAGCGAGCACCCTGGACAATCCACGTGTGTCTTACTATTAATAAGGATGAGGAGACAAGTTGGGTGACCTCAATTCCCATCAGAGAGAAGGGAGAGATGCTAGCAGGCATGTGCTGGGTATCAGCCCTTTAAAGGGTCCAGTACTCCATCAGAAAAGCACACACCTTGTTCTGCTCATGCAGGAAAAGCCACTTCATGAGGAAGCTCATGCTCTGTCCCAAGTACATTGTCGAGAAATAATCCTGGAAGGAGTGGGTTTCCTGCATCAAGGAGCAAATCAGACGATTTTCCTGTAGAAATTGTGTTATGCTGCTATGTCCTGAATTTGCTGGCAGCTCAGAATAAATAGGCTTTTGAGAACTGATCTAAAAATCCTCCCCATTCTATTGTTTCTTTGGGGGAAATGCCTTCTGAGTTGTAAATAATTTTAAAGGAATGATTTATAAATCTGTGCTTGGGCCATAATCCACTTCTGAGTAACACATAACGGTTAAAAAAATGCATGAAATCTTTGCCAATAAACAGCCCTAGAATCTTTTGCTGATCAGCTGAAAGATTCTATGTTAAATATTCAGTGTCTTATGCTATGTGTTTTCAAATAGAACACTCGCTAGCGATTTGAAAACTGCATTGCAAAATACAACATTTACATTTCAGAAAAGCTATGGGAAGTCAGCTTTATCTGTTGGAAGGAACAATACTATCCTAAATGACAAGCATTTTGACTTTTTCTTTTCTTTATTTTTTGGAGGGGTACCACAGATCGAACTCATGACCTTGCACTTGCCAGGCAGGCACTTGTACCACTAAATACACCCCAGCCCCATCCCAAATTTGACTTTTTAAGTGGAAGGTAAAGTATGACTGGTGTCTCTACTCATCACGGCCACATTACGTGTGTCCTAACCACGATGCTGGAACATAAACTGTGGCTCTCCCCTTGCAGTAACATGGCGACACATGGAAGGACATCTTTAAAGTGTGGGACTTTGCTCTCCTGTAAAGATCACAGGGGACCAGCGCCTATGATTTTAGTATCTTTTTAGATATTGAAAATGTTTTATTGATTTATTTATTGTCTTTTTGAGACAGGGTCTCATTATGAAGTTCAGGGTGGCTTTGGACTCAGTTTGTAGCCCAGGCTGGCCCCAGACTTAGCAATCCTCTTGCCTCAGTCTCCTGAATGCTGGAATGACAGAAGGGCACCAGCACCCCTGGCTACCATGTTATGTTTTATGATAGAAATATGTGCAGTCGAGCCCTTGAGATATTTGGGACTTGTCCATTTAGTAGGGCTTTCCGGTGAGTGATGTATCAGGTCTGTTATCTGGATGTCAGTGCTTCCATTCAGAAGCTGATGTTTTGTTTTCATCCAGGTCCTCCTGGCTAGCAGCTTTGTGCCCATTTACGCCGGACTGAGACCAGTGGAATACCAAGGACAGGTAAGGTGATCCTAACTAAGAATTTGCCAGAACACCCGCATTTGCCCATTTCCTGTGAAAGATCTAATTTTGTAATCATTGTGGTCAAATCCATTTACAGGTATTACACATAGAAATAACTTCTTCTCTGTAAGAAAAAAGAACATCGAGAACAGGGACTATAACACCTTACCTCCCAGATCATATGAATCAGAATGATTGACTGGATCGCTCTTTTCTTCATCACTGTAAAAATTATTTAAATTTAATTTATACCAGATACTTTTAAGTGCTTATCGGACATACTGACCACGGTCCATCAGTTCTGGCTGTTAATTAGGTCTGTGAGACACAGTAAATATCAGACAGATTGTCTTGCTTACACGCTACAGCAGCTCACACACCAAGTGCCAGACACATGAAGAAAACCAGGTCAAGATGCTCAGTAAGTACCAAGTCCAATGAGTTTCAACACCCCTGAGAAGCAAGGTGTGGCTGTAATGTTTGAAACCAGTAAAAAAAAAAAAGTTGTGTTTCATAATACATCCCTGTCGCAGCTGCTCATGTAGATGCCAGGAACCAAAGCACGCTTTCACAGTGGGAAAAGGCTTTGCACACCTCCTCACCCAATCCCCTAATAGCTCAGGTCTCCTTCCTCCAACCCTGCAGACCCTCTGCTGCCGACAACCCCCTGTGCTTCTCTAAGGTTCTCTGCTCACGTGCAGAAAGCTAAAGTACAAAGACGCATCTGCAGAGAACTCGCCTCACTTGGTCTGGCAGCTAAGGCAGGATGCCAGCCCTTTCTAGGAGATGTAGAAGGAAGCCCCCATCTAAAATCTAACCTCATAGGCAAGGAGAGGATAGAGTTCAGTGGCACAAGTGCCTGTTTGGCAAGCACAAGGCTCTGAGTTTAATTCCCTATATCAGAAAAAATCAAAGCAAAAAAATCTAAGCTCAGTGCTGTCCAGCAGTCTCTTACGCAGCTGCTTATCCAAGCTGTGTTTTGCTAAATGCTAACCCTGGTCTGCTTCTTTCATACTCATTTTTTAATCCAGCATCATTTCTACTTAATATGTACCAGAGAGAGGCATTTCATATTCAGATACTATGTGTGTTTCACACACTGAAGAGACAAAGAATTTACAATACAATACAGGATATGTTTAATACATATGAGACACAGAGATATGTATTTTATCAAATACAGTATGTATTTCACAAATACTTAAATAAATATAGTATATGTCTACCCACATAACGAGCTATGCATTATGTGATCAGCTTTGTTTTAACACATATTTATAATCAAAAACACTATCCACTTGGCATGTACCAGAGCTATGAACTTTATAAACAAATATAGTAGCTTTTCAGCACACATTCAAAATCAAATATATCTGTTTTGTACATTTAAGAGTTACACATTTTATAATCCAATATAGGATCTGTCTAGTGTGTACCAGAAATAGAGATTTTATAGTCAGAGATGTGTGTTGTATAGTCAAATGTTGTATTTGCTTAAGATACACCAAGTATATTATAATCAATCTGGTATCTATTGAATACATATTTATAATCAATATAGTATTATTTAACACATACCAGAGATATGCATTTTATCATCTAAAACACTATATACTTAATGTACCAGAAATATATAGATAGTTGATTATATACTTATAATCAACCAGAATATCTAGTTATGCCAAAAAATACGCATTTTACAAGCAAATATATCATCTACTTAACACATATTTATAATCAAATGCAGTATTTATTTAGTACATACCTGTGTATGGCTTTTATAATGAAATATACTATCTTAACATACACCAGAGATAATTTTGTCTTGAAATATAGCGTCTGTTTTATATGCCAGAGATGAGGCATACACAGTAACTCTTGGGTGCATGAATGCATTTTGGGGGCAAAATTTTGTTTTGTTTCGCGAACTCTGCATGAACACAACCAAAGTCATCTGCTAAATAGGGCAAGGAATCACATTTGCCAACCAAGGACCAAATGTATTTGAAAGCGGACCAATGCCATTTGTTTCATTTGTATGTAACAGGCATATATTTATTCATAAACAAGGACCACAAACTCTTGGAACATACCTTGATACACACACTCCCTCATTCTAAGTGTGAGCATGGTCCTTTGAGTGCCACAGAGGAGCTAATGGGCTCACAGGAAAGGCAGGAACCGACTTTTACACGATGGAAGAAATACCTGCATCACAGTCCTCCAGTCTTCAAGATGCACTTTCCTAGAGACTGCCTTGTGTCTGAATCATCTCTGCATCCCATGTGACTTTCCCCAAGCCAGTTTTCCTGGGACAGGTCATAGAGAGAAAGCTAAGAAGGAGAGAATTTAAATAAGTGGGTGAAGGCCACTTGTTACAGTCAGAAGTTGTAAGGAGAACAATTAGAATCAGAACACAAAATTTGTAATATTATTTAATGATGGTCTCCCAGAGTTAACACAAGAAACTGCAGGAAATCTATCCACAACACCAAAGACACAGATTATGCAGTGAGGGGCCTGGATTCCACAACAATGTCCTGTATGAGTCCAGATAAAAACCCAGAGCTCATGACAGTGCCTCCCAGGAGTCCATCTGGAGGTCCAGAGCCCACAAGAAGGACTAACACCAATCCATTTATGGGTCTGTGCTGGGAAGGCCCAAAGGTCAGTGGTGGAAGCCAGAAGGTCCATGCCAGCGGGGTAAAGGAGCTGTGCTGATGGAATGAGGTTTCTATGCTGGAGCCAAGAAGTCACGCTCAACAAAGACCAGTACTGTCCTGAAAGACACCACAGCCATCCTCAGCGACACAGAGGCCCCAGACTTCTCCAATCATAACAACAGTTGAATACATGCCAGGAAGCCAGTGTGAAGAGTTCATCCTGGAGACCAAGAGGCACACGTCTTCCCCTCCGGAGCCAGGAAGCAATGTTCAATGTGAGGACCAGAGTGTCTCCAGGAGAACCAAAGGCTCAAACAGCAACACGGAGGAGAACCCACAATGCCTCAATGCCTCACCTCTCCTTCTCCATGTCTCCATGCTGGCAACTTTCCTCAGTTGAAGCATCTATGCTCAGCATCATGGTGATGTAATCCAGCTGGTGTTAAATTCTTAATCCATAACACCACCCACACACAAAGATGAGGCTCCCTCAGAGCAATGCTGGCTCTCTGTTAGTCTATTTATTAAACATATGCACGCAGTGGGTTGTTTGTAGTGATGTACCCTCTCTGTGGCCACTTAGAGACAACATATATACTGATATTTTAGTGTCATAAGTAATTGAAATATCAGCTCATGGGCTCTTTTCTAACTTTACCTATTTTAAATTGCATCTCTCAAAGCTAATGCACATTCTGTTTCCAAGAAAAATATTATGTCTTTTGCCGTTTAAAAATTTATTCACACTCTGTCAGGCTTCAACTTCATGGTGATTTTAAAGTATCATTTTCCCTCTTGTTATATGAATAAAGGTCAACATTTACTTTTATGTGTAAAATTTTAATAGACGTAAAGTTGCTGTGAAAATTTACTTTGTATTGTGAACTTTAATTTTATAATGATCGGAGTTCTAAAATGACTTTGACTTCACGGAGCTGTTTTATAATATACTTCAGCCATAAGAAAAATGTCACCATGGTAAAAAAAACAATCCTGAGGAGTTTTCTGAGGTTTTATATTCCTGTGAAGAGGGATGTATTTGTGTGTTTTCTGTTGCTGTCATAAAATACCTGAGGCTGTGTAGTATGTTTATAAAGAGGTTTATGTACCTTACAAGGGTTTGGATTCTGAAAGCCCATGACTGGATAGATGGCTCCAACTCTCTTATCTCCCATGAGGATCTCTCTAGCTGTGACAAAAATGGTGCCCTATCGGAGTTTGTGTAAGAAAAGAAATCACATACTGAGACAAGAAGCTGGAGAAACTCAGAGCACAGGCTTGCTTTTTTATAACCTGCTCAGGCAGGAACTGACTGGGTGCCATGAGAGATGACTTCATCCCCAACAACTTGGCCCCCTCTGTGATCGCTGCCTCTGCCATTTCTCAGATCCCTCCACTGGGGACCAACTTTCCAGCATGGGAATCTTTGGGGCACAGACTCAAGCCACATCCAAACACAGCAAGGAGACTCAGGTCCAAATGTATCAGAACTGGTCACAGGAGCACTGTATTAAGAGGTGGTGACTGAGATGGTGTAGATAAAATGTATGAATGATGTCACAGGGAGAGAGGTTGGACTAAAGCCACAACTGAGTCCTAGAAAGCCAGCATGCTGTGAGACGATCCAAAACGTTTCCGCTTATAAAACTACAAATAGCAGAATCAGGAAAGCAAATCAGGTGGCAGAGGCTGGAAGTTCTTTCCTGATACAACTTGCTTCTTTCTTAGTGATAGGTTCTCAGTTTCTAGCTAGAAGGGGAGCTCTGTAGTCACAGGTTACAAAGTCATAGTTTCGCCTGCAGGTAAGTAGAGCGGGTTATAATTATTGTTGGGCAAAGAGATACAAACGGAAACACTATTGGACATGCAAGGAGGGAAGCTGTATATCAGTGAATAATATGTAAGCTGAATTACTGTGGGAGCAAGAGGGAGGGAAACTTTGTATCTTTCTGGTTGTGTTTTGTTGTTCTTTCCTGTTTCCTGGTAATTAGACATAATGACTGCAGCTGCAACAGTGTTTCCATTGTGAAACACTAGGTCAAAGATCACCAGATAGCTAGGCATGATGCTGCACAACTGTTAATTCCAGCACTCGGGAGGCTGAGGCAGGAGGATCACTGCAAGTTCCGAAACCAGCCTGGGCTACAAAGGGAGCTCAAAACTGCCTGAACTGCATAGAGAGACTCTGTCTCAAAACAGCAAAACACACAAACAAAACACTAACTAGCTGGCAAAGACTAGACCCTGAATCTTTTGGGGGATAGTAGTGTATGTTTAGGGGCTACTTTACCAATCTATTCTCCATATTCTTCTCAAAAAAAAAAAAAAAAAAGA